ATTATATTTACATGTTGTTAGAACTTATTTATTTCTGAAAAGTAACTATGAAAAGTGATATATTTGAGTGCAGTTACCCTTTGCACATTTCAAAGAATTTTGCTTCTCCTAATTTATGAAACAATTTAACTATAACGTTTTCTGTTTGAAAGTAAACAATTTGATATATAATAAAAGAAATGAAAGGAAAGATTTTGCTTATAATATTGCTGAAAAATAAAGAAGTAAATAAATACAGACTCCCACAAATATAAAAAATCCTTGATTTTATTATCAAAGCATTTTATTAAAAAATGAAAATTTCAAATAAATCTTAAATAAATATTTTGGAAGAAGTTTAGGATATATATTATATAAATATTTATCATAAACATTTTTCTTATATGTTTGTCTTAAATAGGGGCGTAGAAATAAAGACGACTGTAATGAATTTCTCAACAGTATTTAAAGCAAATTATTACTGTTGCTAAAGTCAGTTTCAATGTACAAGATTTGAATGGCATAAAATATATTCAAAATTATAAAATTTTGTAATTATATAGCTGTCACACCAGGAAGTAGTGATTTGATTATGTTGATCATTTTCCAAATCTTGTGAATTTTAATCATATAACATGCGTATAGGAATGAAATAAGTAAAAAAATCATTCCTAGAGTCATTGACATTATAAATGACATAGTTTATAAAAAATGTAGGCGGGCCCACCAGCGGCCGAGCGGTAAAGTCGCTGAACACTGGTAGTTCGGTCAGAGGTTCGAATCCCGCGGTCGGGCTGGCTGCATGGGTGTTATCGTGGTTTTCTCCATATGTAACGTGTGTACGAGCCAGTTTCCCTTAGAAAGTCCTCCACGAAGGCGTCCCGCCCTTTAGGCAGATATCCCTCGAGGCTTTGCCATAATTAAATAACCTAACCTAAAATGTAGGCCGTATAGCTTTGAAACAGCTATGCGTATTCTGAATGTTTTGATATTTTTTGCTGCCAGCTTGCAGGCTGGAATTGCGGTATAATGGTGAAAGATCTATGAGTATTATCAAGTCACACTATTAGTTTGATGATAAAATTCTTAATAATACGCAGGTTTCCTGCCTCTATTTATATTTCTTTTTCGTTTTTATTTTATTTTATTTGCTTAGCAGTTTATGCATTTTTTTATTCATACCACTCTATTTATATCCCCCACCCAAGAAAAACAAAATTAAACGCAGGACGCAGATTATTTCAAAACTGAAATTTCTTTCTTTCTTTCTTTCTTTTTTTTTTTTTTTTTGTTTTTCGATTTAAATCTATTCAATGCAGTTATGATTTATTTTCATGAATTGAATCACATTATGTATTGTAAGTAAGAACGTGTATGAGATTTTATATTTAATTTAATTTTGTAGAGCCATTAGGATATTTTGAAGTAGGAGAATTAAAAATGAGCAATGCCCTCTCTGGGACTCGAATCTAAACCTCTCGAATACGCGCCGAGTATGCTAGAAGGCATGCTGGAAGGAGGGAGAAAATACCTTATAATTTTATTAATAAAATATGTAAATGCAAACTGTTCTTCCAGCTTTTAGATTATAATGTAAACTATTCTTCAAAGTCCGTCTGATGTTTTCGATTGTACGTTTCTTAAATTTATTCACATTGATCAGAAAAGAAACCATTCAAAAAATTTTTAGAATTTTTTCGAATACTGATCCATATATCTTGAGAATTCTTTTCAAAACTGGAAGTTGCTATTCCTTGACAACTATATCAAAGTGTCTTTAAAATTTCTTCAAATAGTTGAACTGATTTATTTCTGTAGTAAAAGCTCCTTCAATTTTAATTTTTTTTTAAAATCTACCTAACGAAACCTGATAAACATGGAACGGCAGACTGGTATTTTTATCAATTTCCGATCGATATTTATTATATGGTATAAAAATGTTTAATAATTTGCGATTAACGATTAGAGTTCATAGTGATCACCTTCAACCATCCAGTGGAATGCGACCTGGCTGATGTCGCCATTGCACTCGACACGGTATCATTTTAATTGATTGGCCACGCGCTCTACATATTGCAGAGTCTGCAAGCTGTTGCCAATTCTTAAAGCGCAGAACTTTCATAAAGCGTGGACATTCTACTGTTTTCCGAATTTCATGTACTGGCAAAACAAAAACTGTTGCCACTTCACTTGCGGAAAACAGCCGTTTTGTAAGCCTATAAGGTATTTCTCCCGCCTTTCTAGCGTGCCTTCGTGGTGTAATGGTTCTGCACACTGGGTCGGTAATCCAGAGGTCCGTGGTTCGATTCCCGGCGAAGGCGTTTGCTCGGTTTTCATCTCTCCATCTTTTCCAATTAACCTAATGTCTCTACAGTGGCGCCCGAACTAAAAGGCTGTTGGATGATGATTTTTTTCAACCAGGATTTGGCGATTGGGTCTTCTAAAAACCCCAGTCGCCCTTTAAAAGGGGGATCATATAAGGTATTTCTCCCACCTTCCTAGCGTGCCTCCGTGGTGTAGTGGTTCTGCACACTGGGCCTGGTTCCCTGGGCCTGCACACTGGCCAGAGGTCCGTGTTCGATTCCCGGCGAAGGCATTTTCTCATTTTTCATCTTTCCGGCTTTTCCAGTTAACCTAATGTCTCTACAAGCCTTAGAATAAACCAGTGAGAAAAGTACACAAGTGTGTCATGAAAAATTATCTTTTTTTTAATAATGTACACAAGTTTTTACTGCTTGGTAATACTTTTTTGCTTGTTTTAAATATATCTTGAGTTTCTGGGAATTTTTAAGACTTAAACTGTTTTAAATGTTATACTAGAAACTGAAATTGAAAACAAATTCCGATTAAAAGAAAAAAAAAGAAATCACGATTTTAACGCATTTTTATAAATTTTCTTTAAATTTTAGTGATAAACTCTCCCTTTACCTCTCTTTTTGTTTGTTTGTGTGGGTATGCGTATTTAGATCCCTCGTTAAAATTTTCAAATTGCTATGCTTTTATTATTTATCTTTTAATTTATGACTTGGTTTATAACGTTGCTAGATTTTGAAATAATACCGTTCTTCTTTCCACCTAATGATACTTAATAAAGAACACTTCTAACGCCCTTATTTCCTACTTCTTCAACAGAACATTTTGGAAAAGAGAATTTCTCTGTCTGTGCAGAAAGACACACTCATACACACTTTCAATTTCATGTACAAAGTAGATCAAATGTTTTTCTTTGACCCGTTAAAAATCAATAAATTAAAATAAATTATCCTAAGTAGCCAAGAGTATTTCATCCAAAACCTGTGTAAAGCAGTCGTAATATAAATTCCTATGGGAATAAAATATAAAATTATGAAGCTAATGAACATGTCAAGGTGACGTGGGAACTGGCTAATAATAACCAGAAAGGCAACAAAACGTTTTTCTTTCCAGCTCAAAAGGGGCTGTTGGTCTCGAAATGGGATTTTGCGTCGATTGTATATCATTGTTGCCACTGAATGTTATTGCCTTGTATTAGTTTTATATTATTAAATAGTAAAAAATTTGCATTTAAATATGTATGTTTCTTACAATGTGAAAAAACGAGTCATCAAATTTTGAATAACCTAGTCCTTCCCTCGAGCACCTAGAGCCCGAATTTTGAATCTCGAACGAAATATTGAATGAAGCAATATTATATAGAACGAAATATTCTATAGATTATTGTCTTTATAGCTGTCGTCAGATGCACATTTTACTGAAGGAGCTAGACTTGTATTTGTATACGTAGATTAACCCAGAATAATTAACACTTTATTTAAATTTGACGTCTTGTATGGTTTCACAAGTTGATTGATCTTCATTTGTGAATACATGTTTGGTGACTTTTGTCAGAAAAAGTCACCACGAAATTGTCACCACGAACGTCCAAATATCGCTAACAATCGACAAACCCACTCGTGTAGTCCTAACTGTTTACGATTTAAGATTAATTGTTTCACATAAATCAGTGAATGATATACTTAATGCCTGTTTATTTACAAGTACTCAAAACTGAAAGGAGTAATAAGCTACAAACGCCTTAAGTATTACTTTAAGACATAATAAAAATTTATGTTAATGATGCCTCTGTTCGGCTGTCCAAAACATTACTAATGGTACAAAATCCATGGTAATAGGAGAGTGAAAATCATTTGAGCTCCTCATTACCCACATCCTTAATTAGTAATGTTGATAAATAGCCGAATAGATAAGACCACTGAGTGCTGATTGAAATCCTAGTGAACCAATCTTAATTGGTTAATCAACCTTAATTGTTGGCAAACTGGTTTCGAAAACTATCAGGCTTGTGAAAATACATTAATTCTCAAACTATTTCAAACGCTGCTGTCTGTGAAAATATATAATGCGTTGAGAAATCTATCATGCGCGAAATAAGGAGATGCGCATATTAAAAATATGCTGCTAGAATGAATTTTGAATGTAATGAAATTTAATGTAAACAAAAATACGGTAACACTTATTAATTCCTTAAAATAGAGCGCAAATTATATACTTTTAATATTTTTTAAGTTTTTTTATTTTTAAATCTATATTTTGTTACATATTTCATATTACTTTAAAAGTATTTAAAAGAAAGGCTCTCTTTCCAAATTTTAATAATGATTAAAATTATTTGGAGAGTTTATTGTTTAGTACCTTATTTTTAATTTTATAAGATATCATTTCGAAAAAAAAACCCAAATAAATATTAAAATCAGTGAGAACAAAATTAAAATTTAAGCTATGGAAATATATGCAATTTTTTTTTGTAGGTGATTTTGAGAATCGAGACGAAAATACTATACCTAAGCATACCTAAGCAGAAGATAATGCTTTAAAATTTTCATCAGTAACCATGAAGTTTTTTAAAACTGTAATTATTCAATGAAAAGCTATATTTTGGCAAGTGAAACGGATCCGTGAGATTCAAACACGAGCGTTTCTCATTTTAAAATGCGTTTTGATCAAATTCTCTACTTAGGCATCGGAGTTAACTTACAAAATGCTTATAAAATATACTTACGTCTTTGGTGATGCGTTTTTCAATTTTATTTTTTTATTTTGTTTCATCTTGGATTTCTGTTCTGCTACTTTCGACATAAATAAAAACCAATTACAGATGGTTGCAGATAATTTGAAGTTGGATGAATGCAAAAAACTTGCGGAATCTCTACAAGAGGACAAATTTAAAATGGATCATACTCCCAGCGGTAAGTTTCTTTATGGCTTCTTCTTCTATATGAAAATTATGTATTTTTTCCACTAAGCGACATTAATCTGCCAGTAACAATTGACTTCAGAAACATAACGGCACAGTGAGAAATCTTTTAACAGTGGGCAGACTTATTCCAAGCCTCATTTGTCTTCTTTTAACCAAGCACTCTGCTTCCACACGTAACAATGCAATATCTGCTGCATTTGTTAGCAGTAAGAAGCAAAGTTGGTTGTGTTAGAAAGAAATTACGGTCAGAAATAATCTTTTAGTTTTTGTTAATTTTTCATTTGTTCATTACTCATAGCACTAGAAAGTTATTTTCTTTGAAATAATTGTACGTTGTGAAAGTACAGCTAGTAAGTAGCTTATATATAAGTACCCTTTTGCTTACAGGGCACACGGAACCCGAAGGGGTATCTTGCATCAGACTCCTGGAGCACTGGAACACCCATCATGGCAAAAGACAGTCTTTCCATCAACTGGCGCTGCGATTAAAACAGCTAGGGAAAGATGACCTCGCGAATCGTTTGGCTATGTCTGTAACCGATGAAAAGGTGGCTGAAGTCCAAGAAAATTTTCTCAAAGATCCTTTCAAATCCAAGATCCATACCAATTCACCTCTTTTGCAAGAAAGTCGGCATGTTGAGCGACCACCAGTTCTAGTAGTACCTGACACTAAATGGACAACTTTAGATGTCTTGGAAATGGTTGTTCTCATACTGATATCTATCCTTCTCGTGCTCTTTGGTTGTTTGACGATAATCAGATTTTTCTTGCCAGATTCTTTTGCCCGTATACGGGCGTCTCTCTACGTCTCGTGGCTGGGAAGACGTCCTGGACAGGAAGAAGTGTTTTACATCATGTAAGGACAGGATCGCTGCATAAGAACGTTCTTATATAATAGTGTTGGCACATTTCAATAGGTTAAATAGCATTTTCCTGACAGGAACCTCCGTAATGATGCCCCAGCATAAAGTGACAATCTCTTTATGAAGATCAAAATTTAACTTGCAAAAAGCAACTTTCATAAACCTACCACTACTTTTACAAGTATGATTTTTTTTGCCTCACTAATCAAGGTAGCAAATAAAACCATACTTGCATGTAGGTGCTCTGGCATACGTGCTATTGCATGAAACGTGTTTTCTGCAAGCTGAAAACTGATCTTAATAAAAGTGCAGGTAACGTTGTCTAGAGGCACCCTTTTGAAGGTTTTTAAGTTGACGAACGCTATAAAGGCATCCTGCTCAGCTACACACTTCCATTCTCTTAGCAGTTGAGGCAAATGAGATTGGAAATTTCCCATTTTAGTCTCTTTCGTTGCATTTAATATTTGAAAATTAGCACTAAATTCAATATGGAATCATTTACGCTTAAAATTTGAATGGTGATGCATTGCTAATGACATATGAGGAACTACTTTGAAATGATTATGAAAGGTATTTTAGATTTAATAATTATTTCATCTTTTACAACTGTGCTTTCATGGCTGTCAGATTTATGACTTCTAATAATTGGATTTCAGTATTTATGTTGAGGACTGATTATATCTGCTTTTCAGAGTGATGCTTATTTCTAAAATTATTTAATTAAAATCGTTAGAATGCTATTTTAAAAATTATCTTATATTTGAGATTTGTTTCTATGTAGTGAATACTATAGTTGATTAATTAAAGTTTGGACTGACAAGATTTGATTTGATAACTAGTTTTCTCAAGCAAACAAACTGAATTTACACAGATGCTTACTCTAACCGAATCATAAAGAACACGTTTTAGCTGATAATAGACTCTCGCATTCGGTAAACAAATATTAGTTTTTCTGATTACAACAAATAACCTATCTATAATTACGAAATGCTTGACTTGTCTGAACACCTGAAATTAAATCTAATTCAAAAATTTGCAAATTCTACAAAATATTACCTTAAGACAAATTACAAATAGCACTTCTCTTTCCAACACAGAGTTGTCGTACAGACTTCAAAAATTTACATAGCAATTTGTGGGTGTTTAACTTAGATGAGAAATTAAAAACTTAATGACAAACGAAGTAAAGTTTATTACAAGCTCAGCCAATACGCTAACGAAGTTTGTGGACGAAATTACCACCAGCTGAAAAAACGCAAACCACATGCTTTGATCATAGCGACAAGGATGGTTTATTTGATTATAGCAAAGCACTCGAGGGTTATCCGCTTAAGGATGCCTTCGTGGAGGAATTTTTAAGGAAAAATGACTCCAACATCCGTTAGAAGTAGGGAATGTCCCGAAAACGCCCATGCAGCCAGCCCGTTCGCCGAGATTCGAACCCCGGACTGAACTACTAGTGCTCGGCCGGTGGTGGGCAAATACGAATAAGGAACAACACAAGGGATGCATTAGATTTCTCTCGGCTTATTCTAATTTCTATTGATCAGATGTTTAATCTGTAATACCCTCAAAATTAATACTCACATTTACATCTTCTGCACGGATTATGATGAAGTTGTAGAAAAGATAGGACAAAAATAATTTAAGCAAACTATGTTAGAAAACCAAAACACTCAAAACACTGCGATGCAGATCTGTGCTTGACAAACGTTAAGCGTTATGCGATATTAATTAATTTTGGGATTGGTTTGATCTGGTTTATTTAATTATGGCAAAGCACACTAGGGCTATCTACCTAAGGGGAGGGATGCCTTCGTGGAGGACTTTTTAAGGGAAACTTACTCGTATACACGTTACACATGGGGAAAACAGCGAAAACGCCCATGCAGCCAGCCCGTTCGCGGGATTCGAACCTCGGACCGAACTACTAGTGTTCAGCGACTTTATCGCTCGGTCGCTGGTGGGCCAATTAATTTTGGGATAAACACACTTCAGAAAGATTGATTATAGTCATTTTACTATTTTTAGGACAATGAAACGAAATAACTAGATTAAAATAAGACTAAACAGATTCTATGAAATTAATATTGCAATTTCACCCATGCAAGAAAACATATCCATTTACTTATTTTATACTCTGTTGCATACTGAACAATTTATTTCGTTTTTGCATTTTCTTTCGATAAAATTCGTTAACAGAAATATTTGAAAATGATTTTTGAAATTTGCTACCAAATATATTAGCATATGATTTTTTTATTCCATATACATATACAGTTTTTTTCAGTGCCTTTATTATATGGATTTAATTCTTGCAGATTAAGTGCGGATTTATTTGATGTTATAAGAAGGGAAAACTTCATAATAACTGGTGCAAAACCTTGTCAAAGCGATCCGACATATTTAAATCTTCAAAACACCCACCGGGTTCAAGACCCGGATTCGATGCTTAGAAAAACCCTTACAGTTTGATTAGTCTAATAAGAGCAACTGCTGCGAAATGAATTCGATTCTTTTGCAGTGCCCCACAGCTCGTTTCTTCATCTGATTTCTTTCGAGAGGTTCTAGAAGTCTCTCATTGTCCCAACAGACACCCCCGTGACCCGTTTGCTCGATCAGCCGGCTTTTATTTTCGTAATTAGCTCGAGATTCGTTTTAATTCATCGCAATTCAGATCCTTTTTCTCTTTAGGGACAAAAACCAGGAAGGAGTACGAACACACATTATTATACCGTGTATTAAAAATTTCAGTATAATATAATACTATTATTTTGTTTACTGACACGTGCGGTTCATTATGAATTTTTGGGCAACAGTTGGCTGTTGTAATTAGAGTATTTCGCAAAACTCGAGCACTAAGTAAAAAAATAGTTCTTACCTATTTAAGGGCAATAAATGCACTTTTTGTAAAACTAAATCTTTCTTTTACTTTTAAATTATACTTCTTTTCCCCCCTTTTCTTTTATCTAACGGATGGCAATTAAATTGTACTTTATTTGTAATATATCCAACTGATGTTTTTACGAACATTTTACGGAGTTTTTATAAGTTATTACGGTCAATTTTCTTCATGAAACTAGATGATTATGAAAGTAGAAATATCTTTTATTTAATAATTTCAAATTTGTGTCTTCATATATTTGTATAGCGGGTTTAAACATTAGTAAATTTCTTAACATAATTAACATTAACAACTTCCTTAACATAACATTTTTTAACATAATTTCATAATTACATGTTCATAAACTTATAAAATATTCATGCAAATTAAAGGCATGTAAAAATTGTATTATGTGTTTTATTAAAATAAATTATATCGTAGGCGACTGCTGCCAAGATCATTAGCGTCTAATGGCCTGCTGATTGATGGAGACAGTTTGAAGCAACCCAATAACTTATATAGATTATAAAAATCAAATTAAACCGAAGGTCACTGGTGCTTGAAAAGGCTATTAGTCACCAATGCCGTATTTGTTAACGATCATCGGTTATAAAATGTTTCTCCCGCCTTTTCAGCATGCCGTCGTAATATAGAGGTGAGCTTAGGGCGCAGCCCAGTCCACCTTGCAAAACAAAGTTTGCCCTATAACCCTATACGAGCCGTGGTATAGAGGTAGCAAATAAAACCATACTTGCAAATAAACCACGGACCTCTTGAATACGCTCGACTCATTTTCAAGAGGTCCGTAGTTCGAGTCCCGACGAGGGCATTGCTCATTTTTCGTAGCTCCTGCTTCGAAATAACCTAATAGTCTCTACAGTGGCGCCCGAACTAAGAAAGGTGGTAGGTGATGATTCTCCACCTCCAGGATTTGGCGATTGGGTCCCTAATCCCCAATTGCCCTTTTAAATGGGGTGTATATAAGGTATTTCTCCCGCTTTCTTAGCATGCCTTCGTAGTGTAGTGGTCAGCACTCTTAACGCGACGCGTATTGGAGAGATCCGTGGTTCGAGACCCGGCGAGGGCATTGCTCATTTTTCATGTCGCCTGCTTCGAAATAACCTAATTTCTCTACAAGTTAATTAAGTTAAATGCCGTGCCACCAGTGACCGAGCGATTAACATCGCCGAATTCTGGTTAGTTCGACCAGAGTTCCAACTGAGACAAACATGTATTAAGGAATTAAGGAAATTGCGTGTAATTAAGGAAAATACAATGTTTTTGTATTTTCCTTTATGTATAACGTGAATAAAAGCCTTTAGTCTTCCATGAAGGCCTTTTTTTCCTTACGTTTATTGCTTTGTCACATACAAATAACGTAACGTAACCTAACCAAATCATAGGTCACCAATATAGCACGGTGCAGTGAATTTAGATATGTTAGTAAAATAAAACTAAGGACAGCGGTGAAGACAGTTTAAGGACAGTCTGTCACTACTGTCTTATGCGTCACTGGCAGTCAATACGTGAGTCATCCATGGAGGGCGGTGCAGTAAATTTAGATACATTAGTAAAATCACATAGAATCTTAGAACATCGGTGATTGTCAACGTCAGTGAACACAGATGACCTATGGTTACAAACGACAAAGTTACTTTTATATTGCAATATTTCCTGCAGTGACAATGCTTACTCTGACGTGGATGATGATAAATACGTGTTAGGAGTAAGTTGTATTTATTTAATAAGTTTTGGCAAAATAAACGAAGGCTATATGCCTAAGAGAAAAAATACCTTGATGGGGGTTTCTCTAAGAGAAAGCCTAATGTTCGTATAGGAACGCATGATTAATCCCCATACGCATAAAGAAAACCACGGAAATATCCTGCAGTTTGCGCACTTTTTGGGCGTCAATTGCAGGTCAGACTGCCTGTGTTCAGCGGTCTTATTAGCTAGAGATGTCAGAAGTAGCCTTAAGGCCAGAAGTGATTAAGTGATTTCGATATGTAAAATACAAGACTTGATTATTTAAATGGAAAGGTGAAGATAATTGTCCGAGAAGGACGATCGAGTATCATATGACTGTTTCCGTGTCTCAGTTTATAGAGGATTTAACGATGGTATTTGAAGATTTTATGCAGAATGTGGATGGCTGAAAGTGATAATAACTTGACACCTAAAGGTAAAATGTGACCGCTGAGTTTGAAAATGAAGTATGAATGGATCAAGAAGGCGCGGAAATCGATTTAAAAGAAAATAACCGCAAAGAGTTTTAAGGAAACTAGGATTTCTGTTGCCATGAATAGTTCTGGGTGTCAGTTAGTTCTAGAAAGATGTTGGAAATAGGCATACTAGTATGATAATTCTTCCCTAAATGGCAACAATGACAGGAAACGTATATCTCATCTTACCTTCAGTCAAAACTAATGATATTCGCAAAATTGCAACATACGCAATTATAAAACTTGGCTTTCCTTAGGTAGAAAAAGCAACAGAAAACATTAGAAAAAAATCACCAAGTATGCAACGCAGAGAAGATGCACTCCCCATTTAATAATATTTCGGTGATTTAAACGCTTTTTAAGATGTAGCTAATCCAGCGAAAAAGGCTATAATGACATATAACACCAGGTTCCGCAAACATGATAGTTACAACATGGTATGATAGTTTGGATGAAACTAAGAGATCATATTCGAAAGAAACACGCAGGAAGACAGCATTTTCCTTGGTAGTTTTGCTATAATAGTGCACGAGACTAAGTGGCAAAATTTGTGACACAGTACGTAATCAAGCTCTTATCCCACCGTATATCCCCAAAATGGTTTCATGCGACTTTAGTTTGTTTCCTATGGCAATGCTAAATTCCGTATCTAGCCGATTACTATCGAGCCTAGATAGTAATCGGTTAGATCTTACCAGC